AGATTCTAAGCAGGATAGGGCCAAATTATGGAAGGTGTTAAATATTTAAAAAGCTGAGCTCTAGCACAGTAAAGATCTAGGAAGTCACTGACGGTATGTAGCCTCAGACAGTGGCTCCTGAGAATTTCCACCTGGTCCTAGGGCCATGTGTGCAAGGAAGAGAAGGATCGTAGACATCTCATTTCCTCAGAGCCAAATGTCCAGTCTTTGCCAATGTTTCTGGTTTGGCATTGATTTGCTCGTTGCCCTTTATTAGAAAAATGGATTAAGCAGCAGAAATAGCGCCAGTATCAACCACATATTGGCTCTAAAATACAGTGAAGAAAAACAAATTTCAAATTACCATTAGGCTTCGATTAAACACCAAATCATATATAGATTCAGTTGATAAAAACAACTGAAGGCAGTGTTTTAAAAACTATATTATGCATAATAATCACCTAACTTGCTAACTTCACCTTATTGGGCCCCACCCCCACCAAGATTTTGATTCAATAAATTTGGGGCTCTAGGGGCGCCTGGGTGGCTCAGTCGTTAAGCGTCTGCCTTCGGCTCAGGTCATGGTCCCAGGGTCCTGGGATCGAGTCCTGCATTGGGCTCCCTGCTCGGCAGGGAGCCTGCTTCTCCCTCTGCCACTCCCCCTGCTTGTGTTCCATCTCTCGCTGTGTCTCTGTCAAACAAATAAATAAAATCTTTAAAAAAAAAATAAAATAAATTTGGGGCCCTAAATTATGCATTTTATTTAAAAGCAATAGAATCAGTTGATTCTAAGGAAGGTAATCCAGTACCAAAAAGAAACAAAGTGGAAAGGTTCTGAAAGAGTACTAAAAATGGCTTATCGATATCTTTTGTCTTTTCCTATTATATAATCTTTAATATGTTACTCAAATTACAATGACACAAATAAATAAAATCTTAAAAAAAAGACATTTATTTATACTCTACATCATTGTTGGTGAAAAATATGAAGGATTAATATGTCACTCTTCAACAATCAGAAATTAGACACTATCATTAAATATTCAAATCCTTGGACAAAAATAAAAGCCTTGTTTTTTAAAAGATAATTTTTGCCAAATTACTTTCTGTGAACAAGTATACCCACTATATTGTCATGAAGGTCATGAAACTTCATCAAGTCTATAATAATCAGATATGTAATCATAAAATTCATTTTTCTATTTTTTTTAAAGATTTTATCTATCCATTTGACAGAGAGAGAGAGCAGAAGGCAGAGGGAGAGGGAGAAGCAGGCTCCCCACTGAGCAGGGAGCCCGACGTGGGGCTCAATCCCAGGACCCTGGGGATCATGACCTGAGCCAAAGACAGACGCTCAACTGACTAAGCCACCCAGGCGCCCCTCATTTTTCTATTTTTAAAACTTCTGGTTATCAATTCTTTTTAAAAAGTACACATTCAAAGAATATTTCAGGAAAAACAATAACTGGCATTTAAATAAATCTGTAGTTATGCATTTCATATTTTATATCTTGGCTAAAAATACAACAGACAAAACCCTAATCTGAATATAAAACAAAAAAACAAAGGCTTATGAAGCTAAAAGTCATAATAAAAATGGTTTTACATCATGAGTAATGACAATATTCACCGAGAGTGCTTATCATAAGTTAAACAGTGAGACTATTCAACAAGTATTTGGAAGAAATGACATTTTAAATCTGGAAAAGTTAAATTACGTTTACTAAAATTAATACTCTGCAATCATTTGGGGTCCTCTGAGGCAAGGTTTATTGCTTTGACTTTATATCTGTTGAAACCTTTGTTAAAAGAGATAAAACAGATAAAATGTTTTATTCCATTCATTTTGCAGATATTTTTAAAATGAGAAAACTCCCAAGGTATCTATGATTTCCAAAGAAACAAAGTAAGGGATTTGTTCTAAATGGGGTACTATTAACAGTGGCATAAAATGTCGCAAGCTCCTATTTTTAGAGGAATGAAGAACATGGCATTATACATAGATCCAGTTATTTGTTATCTTATATTCAATCTATGTTATTTCTTATAAATAAGATCAATACCTATGGAGATAAGTGGATTTAAAAATATTCTACTTTATGTTGAGCAGAGAAGTCTCTACTGGGGGCTTAAGAGATGCCAAACTACCTACCAATCTAGAGAGAAAAACCAAAAAAAACAAAAATCAATACCTGATTTGAGAACACTAATATATTAATATATATAAAATAATATACATTAGAATACACACACACACACACATACACATAGATGTGTGGCAAATCTGAGTGATTCAAATAACAGGGGGGTTATTTGGGAAAGGAGACAGTAAGTAGTGATGTTATTTGATTCCATAGTTTCAACTTTCATTTTATAAAAATTCCACGAATTGAAAATATTTCATATATTGAAGTAAATTTCTACTGCTATGTTATGCCAGTTTCTTTAAATTTTAATTCCAGTATAGTTAACAAACAGTGTCATATTAGTTTCAGGCACAGAATCTAGTGACGCAACAATTCCGTACATTACTCAGTGCTCATCGTAAGTGTACTCTTCATGCCCTGGACTATTTCACCCATCCTCCCCCCACCCACCCCCCTCTGGTAACCATCTGCTTGTTCTCTATAGTTAAGAATCTGTTTTTTGGTTTGTCCCTTTTTCTCTCTGTTCATTTAGTTTCTTAAATTATACATGACTGAAATCACATGGTATTTGTCTTTCTCGGAGTATAATACCTCGCTTAGTATTATACTCTACATCCATCTGTGTTGTTGCAAATGTCATGATCTCATTCTTTCTTATGGCTCAGTAACAGTCCATTGTACATATATGTACCACATCTTCTTTGTCCATTCATCCACTGATGGACACTTGGGCTGCTTCCATAATTTGGCTATTATAAATAATGTTGCAATAAACATAGGGGTGCATAGATCTTTGCAAATTAGTGTTTTCATATTTTTGGGGTGAATACCCAGTAGTAGGACTGCTGGTTCGTAGGGTAGTTCTATTTTTAATTTTTTTGCGGAACCTCCACACCATCTTCCATTGTGGTTGTACCAGTGTGCATTCCCACCAACACTGCAAAAGGATTCCTTTTTCTACACATCCTCACCAATACTTGTTGTTTTCTGTGTTTTTTATTTTAGCCATTCTGACAGGTGTGAGGTGATATTGCATTGTGGTTTTGATTTGCATTTCCTTGATGATTAGTGATGATGAGCATCTTTTCATGTGTCTTCTGGCCATCTGTATGTCTTCTCTGGAGATATGTCTGTTCATGTCTTATGGCCATTTTTTAATTGGGTTATTTGTTTTGTCGCTATTGAGTTTAATAAGTTCTTTATATATATTATGGATACTAACCCTTTATCAGATGTCATTTGCAAATATCTTCTCTCATTCCATTGGTTGTCTTTAGTTTTGCTGATAGTTTTTTTTTGCTGTGCAGAAAACTTTAATTTTGATGTAGTCCCAACAGTCTATTTATGCTTTTGTTTCCCTTGCCTCAGGAGACATAGCTAGAAAAATGTTGCTGTGGCTGATGTCAGAGAAATTACTGCTTATGCTGTCTTCTAGGATTTTTATGGTTTTAGGTCCTTAATCCATTTTGAGTTTATTTTTGTGTATGGTGTAAGAAAGTGGTCCATCTAGTTTCATTCTTTTGCATGTGGCTGTACAATTTTCCCAACACCATTTGTTGAAGAGACTTTTTCCATTGCATATTCTTGCCTCCTTTATCAAAGATTGACTATGTACTTGTGGGTTTATTTCTGTGCCTTCTTTGCTGTTCCACTGACCTGTGTGTTTATTTTTGTGCCAGTACCATACTGTTTCGATTACTATGGCTTTGTAGTATATGATATGCCAGTATTTAATCATGCATGCCATCAAGTAGCACAAGTAACTCAATCTCATCAAAGATGGCCAAAAACCAAAACAAAACATTGTGCTTTTGGGAGAAAAGAGAGAAAGTAAGGAGCTACTTTCCCACTGTAGTCACACTATTTTGGTGCTTATTTTGAAAGGCCAAAGAACTATCATTAAAATTTCACATATCTAATAGAAATTTAATTTGTTTAAGTAGTGATCATGACCACATGCTGACTATTTTGCAAGGTACCTGGTAGATGTTGTGGAGGTGGAGATTGATAAAACATTGTCCTTCACTTTAAGAAACTCATCATCTCCCTGGTGGCAACAGATCCATTTGCTAGCTATAATACAAGGCAGAATAAAAGGCACCAAAAAGAGGTATAAACAACTCACAGTGGGACTAAAGGAGCAGAGAAATCACCAGATTCCTGGTCCTTTGTGCCTGGTATCTCTGAAACCAGAGCCCCTCCTCCTCAGTTTTCCCAGAAGAGCTAGGGGAGGAATACTGTCTGAATGTATGGGGCGAAAGCACAGACCAGAGGCCTAAAAAGCTCCTTATAAAGACTTTCCAACAAACCACCTGGATCCGCCCCTCCCCCCCGCCTTAGTGGTTCCTTGTGTAGCCAATTACTGAGCCTCTCTGGGGTTCTTCAGCGGTCAGATATTTCTAGACAGTACAGCCTTTGCAGGCACTTCGATTTGTCTTCCTTTTATTCTAAGTCATTTACCATTCCTCTATCCAGTCCATGTCTAACAGGCTATGGACTGGGGTTCAGATGTCTCTGAGTTTCAATAAATCTGGGGCAAGTTTCTGGTTGTTCTTGCTGGATTTTCAAAAGGAGAACAGAGTGGAAATGACTTAATTCTTTCATCTTAAAATCTGTCTTGATTACATGATTATTACAATTTCATAACTGAATTGACATTAAGAATATTAAAAATAGGGTGGAAAATTTTAAACTCAAACTATAAGACCAAATCTTTTCTAGACAAATTTTGAACAATGTGGCAAGTAGGGTAGGAGAAGATGCTCTGTGGTTTCAGAAAGCAGAAAGAAACTTCAGAGTGTTCCCACATCATCTCAAGGAGGCCACCGTTCTCCTGAAGCAAAGTACAGTTAGTAAACTACAAGTAATTCAAACCTTCACAAAGATGGTGAACTCTTCCACTTTCTCACTGGCTAACACCAACTTCTTCTGTGCACCTTCTAGGGCCTGCTCACTTTGCAGTGCTAATCCCTGAAGATGCTTAGACGCTGCCATTTCAATCTCTGCCATTGCAGATTCGGTCTCGCTTACTTTTGATACTAGGAGACTAAGCTTGACATCCTGCAAAAGACCGGTGATCACAGAATAAAAAATCATTCACAAACATATTCGGAAGAGTCAGGTATACATGTCAGGTAAAGAAATGGTTTCATGATTCTCTTTCTATATGTATTTATTTTTATTTGGGTAAAATGGATGGTTGTTTTCATTTATTTTCAATAAAATATCCTGTGCACATATTCTCATATATTTATCATCAAAGTTAGTTTATATTTTTAAAAGTTATAAATCATTAAAGACATGGAAGCTATTTTAGGCCAAAAGGCCAAATGGAAATATTTAATTAGTTTATAAGGTTAGGTGGATCTGAAAAATTTATATCCACTTAGGCCAGTTCTTTTTTTTAAGATTTTTTTTTTTTAAGATTTTTATTTATTTATCGAGAGAGAGAGAGAATGGTAGAGAGAGAGCATGAGAGGGAAGAAGGTCAGAGGGAGAAGCAGACTCCCTGCTGAGCAGGGAGCCCGATGCGGGACTCGATCCTGGGACTCCAGGATCATGAACTGAGCCGAAGGCAGTCGCTTAACCAACTGAGCCACCCAGGCCCCCTTTTTTTTAAGACTTTATTTATTTGACAGAGACAGAGCACAAGCAGGGGTAGCGGCAGGCAGAGGGAGAGGGAGAAGCAGGCTCCCCCGCAGAGCAGGGAGCCTAAGTGGGGCTCGATCCCAGGACCCTGAGATCATGACCTGAGCCGAAGGCAGACGCTCAACCAACTAAGCCACCCAGACGTCCCTCCACTTAGGACCGTTCTTAACAATAGTGTTCATTTAAAAGACATTATCAAGACACAAAATCTGTTTCTCTAATATAGCACTACCTTTAATGTTAAACAAATTCTTAGCGTTTCATGTAGAGATAGAAATGTTCTTTGCTGTTATCTGAAACAATTAAGTGGCTCATAATAGTTTTGGGGAGAAAAAAATGACAACTTTAAAAATGAAAAAGATACAGTTATATTCCATTTCTAAGCTAACATGTCCAAAAAGCATACCTTTTTTTCTAATTCCTCTTTAGTTTTTTGATACATCTGTTCATACCGAGACTTCTCTTTCACAGCAACACTGAGTCTCTGCTTTAGTGAATCAATTGATACCCTCTTGTTGGAACATTCTTCAGTTAGTGTCTTCACCTACAGTAAAAGCATAAAGGCATCTGTTATTGGTTAAGGCATCCTAGTCGTATACTCCATTTGTTTCAACAGAAACCAAAACGAAGTCATGAATAAGTCTAATTTCATTTGTTTTCTCATAAATGATATCAAATGTAAATACATAAAAGTTAAAAAAATGATAACAAATTCAAGTATAAGGTTTGTAGCACTCATATTATGAGACAAAAATCCTTAAATCAATAACAAAACAAAAAATGCACAAAAAAGGATGAATGCTGGTATGTGTGGTCTGCCTAAAAATATAGTACTAATGTTAACTATGTTTCCTTTAATTACTAACCTAAACTTCCTTAAGCAGGGGATGGTTGTCTTTGATTCTTAAACAAGCCAAGTCATGGGTAACTTTCAGTTATAACCATATAACATGTACTTTTTAGGATAAAATTAAATAAGTGATGCAACATATTTACTATACATCTGAAGGAAGAAATAGTTTCTCTTTATTTGCTTAATGCCACTAAAGATATATAATTACTTATACAAAGATTCTAAGACTATATCTGGAATCAAAGTTTAAAAATCAGCAATATTTAAATAACACTGAAAAAAAAACCTATAGGAAGTAATTATAATTTATGTGGGTGTGTGGAGGAGAAAAAGAAAGAAAATCCATGTGCATTTGTCTTGCTCACGTAAAATTTTCTCTCTTAAATCCATCTGAGCTAACAGATACTTACATTTTTATCTCCAACAAGGAAAGTAGGGAGATGCTCCCTCTGGAGTGGATAACATTTAGTGAATGCCAAAGCACAAGCTGCTTTATGAGTTGTGCAAATAGCACCTTTTTAAAAACAAAAACAAAAACAACAACAAAAAATCTCTTAGTCAGCAAATTGCTGATTTCTACTTTGGGGTCAGGTACGCAACTATGTTAAATACAACTCTCTTCCTAAGTACACTGAATTAAGTGTAGAGAAGGAAAAAGTACACTTTTTAAAAAATTGTGGTAAGTACATTTTTTAAAAGAACTTCTGGTAGTTATTAGTTATTACCTTTTTCATTTAAAAATATATGCTTCATTCGATCATTATAAATGTTAGTAAATTAAAGCAAATAAAATAATTTTAAATTGTATAAACTTTAAAATGCTGAATAAAATGTAACTATATAATGCAAAACATTGAAGGTTTTTAAATTTAAATTCGATTATCTTCTCATGGTATGTTCACAAATATAAAGAGAATGTGTGGCTATGTTATGTATGACATTTGAGTCTTGAATTTTAAAACAAATAATGTACTTTCAGAGCAAATAATGTAATTATATAACAGTACACATATTCTATGAATATTTTCTATAAATTTAATAAGATTGGATACTCAAGAACGTAAGAGGGAAATGACTTTTTTCAGTGTCAGAAAACATAAAAGTTAATACCTTTTTTTCAAGATTTTCTAACATTTCATTAATACTCTCATTACTTTCCAGATTTACTTTCTGTCGAAATTTCAAGTCCTCTATCAAATGTCTTTTCATGGTTATATCCCTCTCCATTCGAGACATCCTTGAAAGGGAAAAATGACATTTTATTGAGAGTGACAGAAAATACTTCAACAGTGATTATATGATTATATGATAATCTTACATATTATCTAGTGTTATACCTACTGTTAATTTTTAAATGCTATCTGATATTAATTGCAAATAAGATAATTGCATGAGATGAAATATTGCTCTATGAATACTCTGAGTTCTTATAAAATCTATAATCCAGTTGTGACTGGTAATTATTGTATTATATATATGCATTAGGACATAAAAAATAGAAGAACTGAGATTGACAAAATTTATGAAAAATTAAAATTATTATATTTAAATTATATTTTTGCATTGCTAAGAAAAATCAAACATATTTGGAGATCATGAACAAGCCTAACACTGATAGGAAACAATTCTATTCATTAATAAACAAATGTAAAAATCTTACGCCATCATACAGAAACACAATATCCTTAGGCATGGTAGCTTCTAATCTAATATCATTTGCGATTGAACTGACCAATCAGCGTAGCTTCCGTGGATCGCGTGTATAAAATGGCAGCTGAGGCGACTACTCCTAGTCCTACCCAATAGCAACAGGCAACATTGGCCACGTGCTTGCTGTGTGCCGAGCTCTGTTACAAGTGCTCTACACGCACTCAGTCAAGCCTCACAAGAATTTTATGAGCGAACGCCATTAAACTGCGATGCAGAGCTAGCAGGTCGAGAAGCCAGGGTTCAAAGAACGTTTCTCTAGAGCCCTCACTCTTAAATAGTAAACAAGACTGCCTCTTAGGCTCATAAATAAACCTGGAGATACTCTGTTTAAAAAATTAACCAATCTTTTAGTCTGGTCGTTTCGTCTGGGAATATCACTTCTAAGTGATCTTCACTTAAATGTGGTATATGCGTATGTACACCAGATATATAGACATATATAGATAGATTTCTCAAATTATCAACGACAGACCGGAATTCTGTCTAAACATGTTATCACCCCTAAGCTCTAATAATATATCTATAAAAGATACAGAAAGGAAGTCATTTTGATTCAGTGAGAAAGGACATTTCAATCCCCTTTTTGTTAACACATAAAGTACAAACTTTCATAATCTACGTTTTATTTTAGAGAAAAGCAAAACTTTCCTTTTTTCCACCTTAGCTCTATAATGTTAGGCATTAAATCCAATAGAAGATCAATCTACATATATATCTGCCAAATAATTACCACATTTGTAAGTTTTCTGTTTGTAGTCTTTAGGTCATTAATTTATATACATTCAAAATTAAATGTTTAAGAACGAAAACCTAACTTTACATAGTCTTACTCTAAATAAAAAATAGCAAATCGTTTGCCATCGACCATGCTTATAGGTAATATTCCTTAAGCTTTCAACTTACTGAGGTTTAAACATGAACTAAGGAAGGAAAATTTCATTTTGAACATGGGGTATTGTTTCTTGGGTGCAATGTTTAATAGAGTTAACTACCACTAGATGGCACCAAATACAATGGAGAAAAATATCAAGACCATACTTTTCATGCATCTCCTTTATGTGTTCTTCTTTTGCTAGGAGTTCAAATTTCAGAGACTTGACATTTGATGACTGTTTAGTGAGTTCATTAGTTGCATTCTAGATTAAAAATACACATAAAGTCAAATACACCTTTCAATTTTTGGTGGAGTGCAGCATACAAATAAATGCCATTCTCATGAAGAGTGTTAAGTTTACAAAATTATGGTTATAATTTAAAAGGACATTTTAATATTTTTAAATGCTTTATTTCATGTTTTAATAGAAGTACTATGATACACTAAAATTTTCACATAACATACCAAAACCACAGGAGAATGCCATTGTATAACAACTGCAAGAAGTACATACCCAAAATACACATATGGGAAATATGGCTCGTCTTTGTAAAATGTAACTGTGCGTGTGGTTAATTTAGTATTTTAATGGGTTAAGAAGATCACTTAAAATGAATGGTGGGTTTACCAAGAACCCCCGTAACAGACCAAATATGGTTACAAATGCTCTGCAGCTCCCCCCATTAGGAGGTGAGATTCATCTTCCAACCCTTTCAGTCTGGTCTGGCCTGTGATTTGCTTTGACCAAAAAAAATGCGGCAGAAATGACATGACGCAAGTACCAGATCTGGGCCTCAACCCTGCAGCTTGCACTTTCGCCCTCTTGGAATGCTGCCTGGGATCACCTTGCAGGGAAGACAGCGGAAAGGCCATGCGGAGGACGGAGGTATCTGAGCAGACGGTCTGCAGACCAGCTGCTGGGCTGCGAGTGAGGCTATCTTGGAACTTCCAGGCCAGATAAATCCTTGAGTTAAAAGAATGCAGGCACAGGAGAGAACTCAGAAGACTTCGCCAAGGAACTGCCCAGTCCAACCCACTGGATCACAAGAATCAATAAACTGCTGCTGTTGTTTAAGATTTGTTAGACAGGGACAGATAACTGATAGGGAATTTTACTAATACTCAATACTTCCTTACCTGAATTTATTAATAATACTAAGTATTATTAAAGTATCTATGCATAAACATCAGTTTGTCAAAGCAAAACAGCTTTATGGTATTTGCTGACTACACAGCCCAGGAGCCAGAGGTAGGAACTGGAGTGTCAGGAACCCTCACTTTTAATTTGGACTCAAGTTCCAAGTGAACATGTAATCTGAGATATTACCTAGTGTTTTCGATATTATAGTTTCTCCACCTACAAGATAGTGTTAACATACATTAATTAATTTGCTACAATTTTAAAATATTAAATTAATATAAATAGAATAAAATATAGCTTTAAAAATATTTGGAGTAGTTATTTTGCTAATCTTTCTAGTATTTACAATCATTTCTGTTAGAACTATTCCCAGCTTTGACTATGTCATACTAAAAAAATGTAAATTTGAAAAGATGAAACCATTAATCACACCATGTAAATAAGAGTCAAATTCATTAGTCAGACTTTAAAATATCTCACTGGTACAGCATATGTAAATGCAAAATTTGAAATAATTTTAATTTTTACAATAAATACGTAAATTTTCTTAAAAATTCAAGACTACGTCAACATGGCAAGAGTATTGAATGTGAAAAATTTTTGATTAAGTGGGGTCCTCTGGGTGGCTCACTGGTTAAGTGTCTGACTCTTGATTTTGGCTCAGGTCATGATCACAGGGTTGCGGGATCGAGTTCCATGTCATGTTCTGCGGTGGAGCTTGCTTAAAACTCTCTTTCTCTCCCTCTCCCAATGCTCCCCACTTTCCCAATCTCTCTCTCTCGCTCTCTCTCAAAAAAATAAATAAAATAAAAGTTAAAAAAAATTTTTTTGATTGTTTGTGTAATACAATCTAAATTTCCACCATATTTGATGTATATTGCCAGAATAAGATATTCCACACTAGTGAATTTAGGAGCTAATTGAAGCTTTTGCTTTAATCATTAATCTTAAATTCTCTCTGGAATGATTGTTTACTCATTTAGAAAGATGAACATCCATAGTTACATTAAGCATTGTAAGAGTGATACTTCAATATAGTGACATGATAAATATTATCACTGTATTAATTATACATGTTATCTTGCTATACTATATCATCACTATGTCATTATATTGTCATGGCTTTTGGAACTATTATGATATAAAAGGCTACTGACCCCTACTCTAAATGGTCCCAAACTGCTGTTATTCTCATTTTGTATTTTCACCTTAACATTTTCTTTTCTTTTTCTCTTTGTCAGTCCCTTGGTCAAAATTTCTCGCTTCTGTCATCCAAATTCCTGCCTAAAAACAATAGTCTGGCCCTTGAATATGCTAGTTCTAATCTGTTGCTTCTGAGGTATTTTCTGCTGAGAAGTTTAACAAAGAGACTTATTAAAGCTGTATTTAAAATAAAAGATAAAAGGCAGTAAATGAAGCCTGACACTATCTTCAGTGGAATAAATCAAGTGGATTTTAAGGTAGTTGTTTGATTCTTTCTGTTTTTAGACTTAAGGCTGTTATTTTAGGTGACTGAAAATGCTGTAAGTCTGACTTCTGGAAAGTTGAGAGATTACTGAATTATAGTAAATAAAACAACACCAGCTTGATATATACTTTTGCCAGTATCTCTAAATCTCACAGCCATTTCATTTGATCCTTAAAAATCCTTATGAAGTGGGTAGAAGGGTATCCCTGCTTTAGACCTCCGGAGAAATTATTTCCTCAGTCTGGTCCCATAAGAAGTTAGTGCACAAAGAATGATCAAAACCCAGGGCCTCTAACATTTTCCATTTCTACTATACAATACTTATCTGCAGCATGACCTCAAATCTGGAGTAAAGCATATATTTCAAAAAATGTCACAATGGCAAGACTCCATCGTGGTTAGAGCTTTCCTAAGTTTATTAAACTTTTTTTTTTTTTTAAATTGCAGAGTGTCTGAGTAAAGGCATGGACTCTGAAGTCAGACAGATTGAGTTCTAATTTCGGTTCTATCACTTAGTAGCTCAGTTGACCTTGGACAATTAATTTATCCTGTGTCTCTGCTTTCTCAACAGTAAAACAGAGTCATAGAATTTATCTCACAGGACAGAAATGAGGTGTTTTTTAAGATTTTATTTATTTATTCGAGAGAGAGAGAGAGAGAGGGAGAGAGCACAAGCAGGGGAAACGGCAGGCAGAGGGAGAAGCAGACTCCCCACAGAGCAGGGAGCCCGATGTGGGGCTCGATCCCAGGACCCCGGGATCATGACCTGAGCTGAAGGCAGACGCTTAACTGTCTGAGATACCCAGCTGCCCCTAGAAATGAGGTTTAAATGAGTTAATATTTCTAAAGGACTTAGAACTAGCCTGGCAATAGTTTACCTATAAAGCAACAGTAGTTTAAAAGCTACACTGCTTCATTATTGACCTCCTGGAAAACTGGAAGAGAACATGGTCTATACCAAAGGAATGCTTTCAACAATCAGGAAGTCAAAGAATCACAAATATAAACTGAAGTACTAGTTAATTCAAATTGTATAAATAACAACTACAAATACACTAAATATAAATAACATATATACATATGTATGTATGTATGTATGTATATACCATCCACTGGAAGGAATTTGTACATCTCTAAATATTTGATTATTGATCTATATAAAGTTGGGTACCTTGAGGAAACATGTATAATGTAGGTAAAAATGAAGATAGAGAAAATACACATGAGCACTCAAATGATACTGAATGTACCATGTGTATCAGAGGTACACCTAAGAATTTACACAGAAAAGTCTAAAATTAATTAGATAAAATAAAAAAAAGGCATATGTAAACTTTAATATATTCAAGTCTTTTTAAAAAATTTTTAAATTAACATATAATGTATTTGTTTCAGAGGTACAGGTCTGTGATTCAACAGTCTTACACAATTCACAGCGCTCACCATAGCACATACCCTCCCCAGTGTCCATCACCCAGCCACCCCATCCCTCCCAACCCCCACCACTCCAGCAACCCTCAGTTTGTTTCCTGAGATTAAGAATTCCTCATATCAGTGAGATCATATGATACTTGTCTTTCTCTGATTGACTTATTTCGTTTCACTTAATACCCTCTAGTTCCATCCATGTTGTTGCAAATGGGAAGATTTCATTTTTTTGATGGCTGCATAATATTCCATTGTATTAATATATTCAAATCTAACCAGTTTTTTCTTAATTAAGCATAAAAACATCAACTAGAAAGAAGTTATTTCTTGGAAAATTATTATGTTAGCAATTCGATACCTGTCATGGGTTGAATTGTATCCCCTCAAAATTTGTATGTTGAAGTCTTAACCCCAGTACCTCAAAATGTGACTGTATTTGGATAAGGCCTTTAAAGAGGTAATTAAAGTAACATGAGGTCATACAGGTTGGACCTTCACCCAATGTGACTGGTATCTTATTAGAGAGTAAAAACAGATCACACAGACTCAGGGATGACCATGTGAGGACACAGCAAAGAAGGTGGCCATCTAGAAGCTAATGAGAGAACCTACAACCTATGGATACCTTCATCTTGGACTTGGAGACTCCAGAACTATGAGGGAAAAAAATTCCATTACTTAAGCCATGCAGTCTGCGGTATTTTGTTAGAGCAGACCTAGCAAACTAATCAAATATCAAAACAAAAATTTGTAGTAGCAGAGTGTATTATGTACCTTAAAGTACTGGTCTTCTAAGGTACTTCCATATTAAAACATGAAGCAAGACAGAGGTCAAGATTTATCCTTTCTGTCCCTAGGTAGCCTGGTCAGTGTCCTAGGACTCCAGGCTAGATATGGACACTTCACTTCAAACGTACATCTAAATTGCTCCAGGCATTCTCATAGTCTTATCTTTGTGACTCACACATTCCTCTAAAGTGCAGAGAGATTTATATACGGGTGCAAACTTACACCATGGGAAACCATAATGTAAACAACCTAGAGATATTGATATGCATCTATTATTTTCAAAAATTATGTTAGACCATTTCATAGCAAGTAAAACCAAGTAAGTAAACTGTAAGTCAACATAAAGCTATTAACCACTTTAAAAATCTTAGAAGTCAGATTAGGTATTATTGGATCCAACATTCTATTTTATCTTGGTGAAAACTAAAGCTGTATTAGGAGCCTGAAGACTTAAGTATAAGAGGAATCACAGAACTGTGAATCAAAGTCTCTGTAGTAGATATAGGTAAGATCAAAGAATATCTCAATGATTTTATCTTCTGTACAGAAACCTAACACTGAAATGGTCAGTTTTAGTCCACTTTTTCAAAACAAATGCATTTTAAGAAAAGATGTATGCACCAAAGCTTGTACCACTATTTTTTCTCATATTTCTATTATGTAAGGTATTTAAAGTTATAAAATGTAGTGGTTGAGGCAAGTTCTGCACATAAAAACTCTAAAGAAGACGATATTCAGGAAATATCTAAATTAATGCCACTGTGTATATCTGATTATTAACAAAGCAAAATATTTTCAAGTAATGATACACTCATTTACTTTAAACTTTATCCTATTTTATCCTCTTAGTAATCCTTCATTTAAAGATACTATTGGAGAGAGCACATATCATATTTTGAATTAAAAACAACTGAGTCTATTTGATAATTCAATATTCTACTACCCTTTTATTTTTTTTTCTTTTAACAGTCATAGCTACTCTGTTCCTAATGTATTATGTGCATTTCCAACCAGAACTCTCTTTCTAGTGACTCTCATTATAGTGATGGTCCCACACACACTGTCCTTTTAGCTCCCAGCTAGCAATACCCGCCAAACAAAATAATTAAATACGTGAGGAATAAACGAGCTTGTGTTAAACAGTATGAAAATGAACTTTTCAATTAAATATCACAAATCCTGTTTCTTACAAGGTAATTCTATTTAAACTGAGGCCAGCCTTATTTTTAAGTTGTTGATAGTTTCAACTGGACTTAGATGGTATTCTTTACAAAGAAAAGGAACACCCCTTTTTACTCTTATTCTCAGGTTTAACTTGCTAAAATCTATTAAACCAACCACCTTTGTTCTGTGCTTCTCCCCGCCCCCCCATAATTTCCCTCGTCCTTCCTCATGTGTAGAGGGAAGCAATTCTATTTATGTTGATACACTAAAGTTTGAAAGGAATTCTGTGCAGTGGAAGGAGGGATGGAGGGTAGAGGGGAGTTCAGTAATGGAAGAGAAATGACAATGGCCAGTTTCTATCACCTTCTAAATTAGGATTTCATGGTGTCTTCTCATTTTCTCAGAGAATAGTGTTAGGAGTCACCATATAAGAAACGACGAGGCTAAAAGAGAATGATGAGGCCAAATATAGTATTAGTAACTTTTGGATTATTTATACCATAATTTACCCTTATTAGTAGAATTAAATTAGAATCAATATAAACATGTCTTTAAGGATTCACTAACTTAATATATGTTTTCATGTTTAATAAAATTTATAATCACCTTTAATTTACACTGCAATTGCTTCATCTCCAAATCCATGCTCCTTGAAGGACCAAGTGATGTGACCTGTATCCGTGGAACTATCACCCGGGAAACTTCTTCTGCCAAACTTGTGATTTCAGATGAGGACTCCAATTTCCTCAGCAAGTCTTCTTTTTCCCTCCGAAGGCCAGCCAAATCAAAATTTAGCTTCTTTTTAAAAAAGAAAATAAATATAAATGTATTATAAAAGTAATTACTTTTAACCTAACATTTATCAGCATAAAATTCTAATGCTAAAGAAAAAAGTGAAATTAATTCTAAAAATAGTTATTATAAAAACTTTACAGAAATCATAACTCCTACTAGTTTTTGCTTAAGGTTGTAGTGCTTGTAAAGGTTAAAACAACATGGGCTGGCTGTACCCAGCATCTTTTGGTTGGCTGGTCTTCACTCATGATGTGCTATTTCTTTGACTTCACATATACATGGCTGAGCCAGAGATTCACGTATTTGATAACCTTGACTTCAGGACTGATGTACTTGACTGGTAAAAGCCAAGCTGGAGCAGGACAGGATAACAGATGTTAGTTGCTTATTCCACTGGGTAGGTCTTACCATCCTCTATGGCAGCCAAAACGCTTCTCATTTAGTAACATAAATGTTAAGTCCAATTAGCAGAAGAGGCTTATTAGAGATTTAGTTCAAATAGTGTGCAAACAAATTTGCTCAGTCTTATGCATCTGATTGATAGTTGACAAGTCCTCTTTGTAATGTTCACATAGAACTGCACTAAACTCCTTACATTTGAATTTTTTAATGACATCAACATTTTACTAAAAGACATACTGATGTTTTTATGAAATAGTGTAAAAGAAATGGTCTTAATGTCAACCCTTCTCGTTCACCAATCTGCAGTCAGCAGAATGTCACCAAGCTATAATGGCATAACAACTCGGAGCTCCTTAAGAGGATAACTGCAGTACTATTTTATTATTCCAGAGAAGCTTATAATATGGTAGTTTAACATAAGGAACAATTACACAAAATGGTACTGAAATCTCTCAGGGGGCAAAAAATCTTTCTTAGTGAAAAATTCTAATGAGAAACAGCAAAAGATGTAGCCAACACGTACAGTAATATAAATATGGGACATAATAAGTTATCTAAGTATTAACACTATATTTAAACACAACTTTTACAAACTATACCAATAATTGCCTATGTATTTGTGTATATATGTCTATACTGTTAAGTATAAATAGTTCAGATATTGGATTCAAAACTAGGGCTTGATATATTTGATATTAGATTATGTTTTGGTAGAATAAAAAGTATGTTTTGGTGAAAAAAAATTCTTTGATTATATTTGAACTTATTTTTTTTTTTTTAAGACTTATTTATCTGAGAAAGAGAGAGAGCAAGAGAGCATGCACACTCAAGGGAGGGGAAGACGGAAAGGAGAGAGAATCCCAAGCAGACTCCAGCTGAGTGCGGAGCCTGAGGGGTTGGATCCCATGATGGACGAGATTGAGACCTGAGCAGAAACCAAGAGTTGGAAGCTTAACTGACTGCTCCACGCAGGTGCCCCTCTTTGATTATATTTGAACTTATGATCTAAAGGTATGGTTCTGTATATTTTCAGGAAATATTCATTCATGAATTGTATCAAAGTTACCTAAAAAATTAATATCTAAAAGCAAACTCATAATTTCCCTAACCCTGAAAATCTTCTTAGTTATCTTCCAAGCTTGAATCCATCTCCCTCCTTGTTTATTGTCACGTTCTATAAATTATGTCATGTTCTATAAATTATGTCATATTTCTCACATTCACTCCCTCTGCCACTTTCTTAATGAAGACTCTCACTATCCCACGAAGACCACTGCAAAAGCCCTTCCCCTCCCTGCAGCCCTTCCTATTTTTAAACCATCTTTTATATAACTTTCTAAAACAACATCGACCTCTTAATCCCTCATTCAAAAAGCCTTCAGGGGGTTTCTTACCCCAGTAGAATAAAGCTCAGATGTTTGTGGTTTTCATAAGGCTCTCTAAGATTTAGCTTCAATTTGTGTTTCAGCCAAACATCATCTGAGGTCAAACCTGCCTGCCATACCCCAAACCCGTCCGCCATTTCTACATCAATGACTCTACACTTGGCGTCTCCTGCCACTGAAATTTCACTCATGCTTAAAAAACAGCTCAATATTTCCTCCTTTATGAAGTCTTCTGTTCTTTCCCTTCTTCTTTTTCTTCAACAAGTAGCTTCTCCATTCTCTTAGCTCCCATAGCACTGTGTCTATTCTTCAACCATGAACCCTAGTAAGTCCTTGAGAGAGGACTGTGCCTTTTTCCCCAGGGTGTCTAAAAAAATGCCTTCTGTATAGTAAGAACCAAAAGAAAGGCACAATAGACAAACTGTGGAAGGAACCAAGATGCCCTTTAACAGATGAATGGATAAAAAAGATGTGATACACATATACAATGGAATATTACTCAGTCATCAGAAAGGATGAATACCCACCATTTGCAATGACATGGAGGGAACTGGAGGGGATTATCCTAAGTGAAATAGGTCAAGCAGAGAAAGACAATTACCATATGGTTTCACTCATATGTGGAACATAAGGAATAGAGCAGAAGACCACAGGGGAAGGGAGGAAAAACTGAATGGGAAGAAATCAGAGAGGGAGACAAACCATGAGAGACTCTGGACTCTGGGAACCAAATTGAGGGTTACAGATGGGAGTGGGGTGGAGGGTTGGGGTAACCGGGTGATGGGCACGTGTTGGGATGAGCACTGGGTGTTACACGCAACTAATGAATCATTGAACGCTACAACAAAAACTTATGATGTATTATATGCTGCCTAACTAAACATACTTAAAAAAAAAAGTTCCAAAAATTGAAATCTCCCTATTTGTAGCATGGATGGTGCTATGAAGACATATTGATTTCAGCTCGTATTTACAATCTTTCTATTAGTTTATCACTATATAAATTAAAATACACTTTTATTAGTAAAGTAATATTGTCAGTGTTTACTTAAGTAGTATGCACTGGAGCATTTATCAATCCCGAAGTGAATGCTATGCATCTAAATTAGACTTTCTAAGATTTTAATTTGGTATGACATAACTCATGGCTACAATTCTATGTGGAATCTCAGGCAACACAGAAAACCCTACTTTGATGAGGCTCTTTTCTTCCCACGAATAGTCCCGGTAGCTTCTCTCATTTGTTAAACTCGTATGACATTAGATTTCTGTCTATTCCTTCCACAGCGGTAGATCCTAACACTATAAATAAATCCTTCATGGAGGAAAGACCAAGACAATAAATATAGTTCTCTAAAAGACATGCATAGCAGATTTTAACTTTAATCTGACAGTATAAAAATTTATTAAATGAAGAAACACTGAAATTATGAAGACTGTAAATCACATGACTTGTAATTTATTAAATATAAATCATATTTTAATTAACCAATATTTAAAATCTAAAATCTTTAAAATGTATTTCCAATATAATCATACATGCCCAGAAAAGCTACAGGGCATGTGTTGAAATAGAAGAAATAAACAAATCATATATTCCATCAGGTTGGAGTCCTTTTTTTTTTAAAAGATTTTATTTATTTATTTGAGAGAGACAGAATGAGAGATAGAGAGCACGAGAGGGAAGAGGGTCAGAGGGAGAAGCAGACTCCCTGCTGAGCAGGGAGCCTGATGCGGGACTCGATCCTGGGACTCCAGGATCATGACCTGAGCCGAAGGCAGTCGCTTAACCAACTGAGCCACCCAGGCGCCCAGGTTGGAGTCCTTTATCCCTTAGAATTTTGGACAAATAATGATGGCCCTATTACTAACTTCTCTCAGTTTAAACATCCTATTTCTTATTTGAGAAATGCTACAGATAAGACAAGAAGCATGAATAACTTTCTTTTGTGTACACTTGGCTTGGCATGTAAGACTACTTGTGGTGACCTCGTTAGAAAGAGAGTATGCTTGGGTGCCTGGGTGGCTCAGATGGTTAAGCGTCTGCCTTCGGCTCAGGTCATGATCCCGGGGGTCCTGGGATCGAGTTCCGCATCAGGCTCCCTGCTCCTTGGGAGCCTGCTTCTCCCTCTGCCTCTCTCTCTCTCTCTGTCTCTCATGAATAAATAAATAAATAAAATCTTTAAAAAAAAAAAAAAGAAAGAGAGTATGCTTAAAATTTACCAATAAATTAAGACTATCCTTAAAATTGTTGCTTTTCTTTTTTATCAAAAGCATGATCCTATTTCTATATTATTATTTTACCATCTCCAAACATTTAAAATATATGTCATTTATATTAAAACCATAAATAATAATAAAACACATGGAGAGTCATAATTTCTGGATTTTAGCTTTGGATCTACTGCTTACCAGTTCAGTGTGATGCTAATTAGCACTTGACATTGTTTCCTCATTTAATAACAGAGATGATGCTTGTCTACCTAGCAAAGGTCATTTTGAGGGCAGATTTTTTTTAAAGAATTATGACAGCACTTGGTAAATTTTAAATTTACAGCACTATTGTTAGCACTATCTTGCGGTAAATGCTACCATAAAGCGTATGAGAAGTACCTTAAAGGCTGAGAACCTGGATTTTAAAAAAAACTGTGACATACCTAAAATATTAAGTATATATATAAACATATACAAAAAATTCCTCCCTTAAAGAGAACCTGGATTTTAAAAAAGAACTTCGTGATATATATAAAATATTAAGTATACATATAAACATATACAGAAAATTCCTCCCTTAAAAGATATACCAATCTTTTAGAAGTCTATTTCAATTTAAAAGTTGACTTCACTGAGAATAACTACTGAGATTTGTATTGATTTATGTGTAGTCAATTATTCTAACCAAAGCTTATAAAGTAGAACTTAACACTATAAAAGTTTAAAACTAGACCCTAGTTATTATTTATTTAAATAGAACACTGAAGAAGCATAAGTCTCTGAGAAGGAAAGAACCCTCTAAGCAACTGTAAGAAGAAACAAAATATACTGGAGAATTCATTCTTCAGTAAGGAGCTCTGGGGTAGGCAGAATCCTCAGATGACCCCCAATGACCCACGCCCTGTAAAATACCCTCCCCTTGTATGTGGGTGAGACCTGTGAATATAATGAGCTATCACTCCCATGATTATATTATTTGTGTATGTTAATATGCAAAAGGCA